ATAAAATAAAATAGAATGCATGGTACTATAGATTTATGTTCTTAAGTTTTTCTCTGTCACGTTCTAAATATAAATTTTGATACTGATGCAATGTTGAAGTTGGGCATTTTCTAATTAAATTTTGTATGTGCGTGTGCGTGTATATAATTAAGAAATATAACCATAAATTGATGAATTATTCATGATGATGATGTAGATGATAGTTGCCTTAATGCCTATGATCATACAATATGTGGGTTACATCAACCCACCTCACCAAGCCCTCAACCTACTACGGGCTGTATTAGAAGACCTAGTTTTTGCTCTTGACTTGCTTCTTTTACTGTATGATCTAACTATCATGCCTTTTGTGTATAGAGAGAGAGAGAGAGAGAGAGATGACAAACAGAGCCACATCTCACAGTTTGCAATGCTTCAATGTTTGAGACGTGTGAGTAACGCATGGATGCCCCTATCATGGGAAAGTGTTCAAGGAATATAATGTGAAGGAGATGTGTTACGACTTACAAGATATTCAAGCAAAATAGGAATAAAGTATTCAAGATTTTAATAATGCAAGTTCCTTTGGTGTTACACATTAGATATGGTAGTGAATGTTGAGTTTTGATGGGATAGTAAGAACATAAAGTTGGAATAGCAGAGATGAGAATGTTGAGATGGATGTGTGGATATACACGTAAAAACAAAATTCGAAATGAGCAAATACGAGAAAAGTGGGGGTGGCACTTATTGAAAAAAAAATGGTAAAAAATCATTTGAGATGATTCAGATATGTACAAAGAAAACCATAAAAGGCACCTATGAGGAGAGTGGAACAGATGACTTTGAACCCTGTCAAGAAGGTAGAGGAAGACTGAAGAGAATACTTTTGAAGGTTGTTGAACGAGACCTTTTAATTAACAATATTTTTAAAAACTTAATAAATGATAGAATACAATGGTGTCATATAATCCATATAGCTGACCCTACTAATGGGATAAGGCTTGTTGTTTGTTGTTGTATTGAAATTAATAGAAATTGATATCCTTCCTAAAGGATTAACTGTGTTTAGATTGAATGAAAGAGACTTGATTTTCTTCTAGTAATATTAAGAGTTCAAATCTTGTTACTGAAGAAAATCATATTGGATGAGCTACCTCCAATTAAACCCAATGATACTCAAAATAGATCCAATTATTCCAGATATAAGATAATTGTATAAATAAAAAAATCACTCATTAAGATAGCTGATCAAAAGTTCTAACACACACACTCACATATAAATCAATTATGTACGTTAAAACTTCCTTAAATAAGTGCACGTTTGCATGCAGACATCCGAATAGAAGGCCACAAGGACCTACATAATCGGTATTGGGGGCAATTACCCTCCACATAAAAAAAAAAAAATCATTTTACTCAATATTATATGTATGATGTATATGTATAAATGATTTTCAATGTTTAATAATGCCAGTTCTAATTCTCCCATAAAATATATGTATGTATGTGTTGCACCCTCATTCTAAAATTTTAGGATCAGTCACTGGTCCTGGAGCTTGCCTATTATTAAACTGGAGTACAAAGCTACTTTTAACTCATCATTGACTTTTGCATTATCAGATCCTAGTCAAACTTCAGCTGTCATCAGTAAATGATATTTCAACAATAAATGCTAATGACAAGACAAGCCAAGCCCCATATAATGCAAAGAACCAATTTCGATTCTCATAACCTCCTCAACTTTTGTACTGAACATTACAACTTGGAAAATGTTCATCTTCACTTTCATTATCAGCTTTAGACAATCTCTATACTGATGAAAATCTTGTTGGGAATGGGATATCTTATATTTAAACCGGTTTGAGCTTAATAGCTTCACATTTCATAGAGATAAACTGATGATATACACAACTTATAGTCATAACAATATATTTCATTGTATTATAATACATAATTACACAACAGATCTATAGGATCACTCAATGCATGCACTGAGATTAAAAATAAAGTAGTATAAATTTGACAAACTTTCATGGACATGGCTTAAGCAATTGAACATGTGAACTCTATATATTCATTGCTATTTTCGAAACATAATTTAGTTGATAAGCACTACATTTTGCATAGAGATACAACACTGCCATCAAGAGTAGAAATTAACAATTATGCAGTAGGATAAGAAGCTTGCTTTGCTATACCACAAAGGCCTTTTTGAGCTTTCACATTTCTTTGCATCCTAATGTATCCTTCTTCACCCCATTCTGCTCCCCATGAGTTTTTCACCAACCAATATTCAGTATCATCGCTGACACCATAACCAATGGCTGTAACACCATGATCCAACTCGGTGCCACAAGAACCTATGAAAATGCCACCTGAGTAAAACTGAAAATCAGATCCACTTGCATCTATGGCCACTTAAACTGGCTGGTTAGCCACTGCTTTTTGCAGTGCCTGCTCACTATTCGCAGGAACATCCTCATACCCATTAATGGTGGCTACATGGTAGTCTTCTTCATTGGCATTGCAAGTTCCATCAACACCCTTGTAAGGATAGTTGGCTTCTGAGGTTATACCTTTGCTTTTTAGGATGAATTTGAAGGCATCATCCATTAAACCTCCTTCACAACCTTGGTCCACACCTGTGTCACAATCAACCAGCTCTTGCTCCGACAAAGAGATCAATTTTCCTGTACTCAACTTAGTGATTCCTTCTGTTGCTGCTATAGCAGAAAAGGCCCAGCAACATCCTGCAATACGAATGGAAGTTAACAGTCATGCAAAACAATCCAATCTAGATTTGTTAACTAAAGGATAATTGTTGTACAATACTTACCACATTGGCCCTGGTTCTTGACAGGAGTGGCAACACCTTGCTTTCTCTAATCTACAGAGGAAGGCACATCAGTCACATTTTCATACTTGAAAGAGGGTGTCCTTGAGATTGAGGAGCAATGTAACCCTTGAATCTATTTCTAGAATCTGTGAATTCTTCATTGTGAGATCTGCAAAGTGATTTATGCCTAGCTTATAAGGCTTGGCTGCAGCACTGCTAAAGCTTTCAATGTATTCCACATTTTGCTTGAATATATTGAAACGCTTCTCCTTCTCCACATGGTCCTTGTACACTCTGCCATATTGAACTATCCATTGCTCATGCCTCTCCTTCATTGAAGCTTCTTGAAGAGTTCGAGATGAGGCTTGAAATGCCAACATTCCCACGAAAAGAAGAGCCAATGGAAGAAGAAGGTTCTGAATTGAATTTTGAAAGCCATGTTACTGTGATAATTGAAACAACTGCTTCAGAATGATGTTGTGATGACCGGCAATGTTCATGAGGTATATATGTAGAGCAAAATTCACTCTGACTTGTAAACAATCATGTTCTATGATTTAATCACTGAAGAATAGTAAAGAAAACCCTTTCTTTTCAAGTTCCTGAAAAAAAAATGTTATTCATGACAGCTGGGAATAGTTTCAAAGTGGGGGTCTTTGAGAAATGTCTTAAACGGTAAGGAGTTTTGAAATTATGATTTTTAAATTGCCAGCATAATTAAATAATGTTTCAGAGTTATAGCTAAATGCCAACCTTAACCTCAAGTTATCATTCAAACGGAGAATAATGAATACAAAACATGGTATTCAGAAACGCTTCCGTATGGAAGAACAAAACATGGTATTCAGAAACGTTTCCGTATGGAAGACTAACAACTATGTATGCCATATATTTATGTCACTGAAACATTTTGCTTGTCCTTGACCTTGAGTTACTTATATGGAATGGAAAGTTGTCTTTTGTTATCATAAAAACAAAGAATTTAAATGGTTGCTAAACCAGGTTACTTCTATGCATGGATCATGCTTGCCATGTGTGCTCTGCATAACAATTGAGGTAATTTTTAGAATGCCAATTAATTTGGTTGCCATCATTGTCAAACTACTTGATCATCAAATGATATTGTGGGCGGTTAATATAACATATTATAATAAAGTATAATATTCCTTATCTTATTTTTATAAGTCACTTTTAGCATATTTCACTAGAACAAAAAAAAAAATCTTAAACTCATTGACTATCTAAAGATTCAAAAAAGTTTCTCATTTGACCCTAATTAAACATGCATACTTTAAAAATAAAATGCTCCAACATTTAATAACCTTACCAGCATTTAATGTAGGCAAAAGGATAAAGATAAAAAGAATCATAAAGCTTCACTATAATAGGACCAAAACAAATGTTTTTTTTTTTTTACTGAAAAAACAAATGTTTTTTTAGAGGAATAGATTAGAACTATAGATTTAGTATGCACGGACTTGCGTGTACGAGATTTCAAGTAAAAAAAGGGGGACCCAAAAAAAAAATAGAAAAAAAGGAAAAGGAAAGGAAAGGAACTGACAAAGAAAAAGCAAAAGAAAAAAAACAAACAGAATGCAGGCAGTCTAAAATAATGCTGCAGTTAGATTCTGAGCGTTTATATACACCACACACACACTCCGGTATTTCAACTAGCCTTGTTGCAGAAATCAATTCTGTTGCATGATATTGACTCCGGTCTTCACATTGGGAGTGAGGCCAAATCAAGCTACATCTAATGAGAAGATGTTTTACAAGATAGACAAGCAAAATGTGCATACTAAAACTACACATCAGATCTGAAAAGTGTATGCACAGAAATATTAAGATTTCAACAATGCAGGGAGCTCATATCAGATCTGAAATATGCACGACACTGAAATTAATAGAAAGCTCAGTCCCTCGTGGAGGCAGCCGATCAGAACACACACACACACACACACACACACATCAAGACCCTTACAGCGGGACCTGGTGCTTGCCCATTAAACCAGACTACAAATCTACAATCAACTAATTGAATTTACATCATAAGAAACTAGTCAAGCTTCAATTGTCACTAAGAAATGGTATTACACCACTAATGTTAATGAATAGTAAAAGGTCTGAAAACATATTATGGCAAAAGAATTACCAAAACGAATATGAAGAGAGCAGGTAGATATAATTCTTGATAACGGATGCAAAATTTTCTGGATGAATCTTTATATCACAAAGTTCTATATGATTCTGTTTATTACAAAGTTCTATTGCAAAATTGACTCGTCAACATACACCCAACATATATTACAAGCACAATGACTTTTGACATGATTCTTCGCAGACTTTTCACCTGAGTTCATCACAACCAATGCTCCTGTCTAGCCTTATCAATTTCAGAACACACTTGATTCTCCAAAGTTATCTTGTGGTTGCCTATTCCAAGAAGTCTTCCTGCCAATAATCACGAAGATGCAGGGGCCACCTCTACTGCACTAGTTCTGCAACATATGACGGAGAACACAAGGAAGAAAAATGTAAAATGTCAACTTATAATCTCCAGCCCACCTAGTGGGATAAGGCTTGCTGTTGTTATTGTATAATCTCCAGCAACATATACAGTGTAATCTGAAAACCGTGTGAGTCATATCACAGCTTTTCGTTTACCTTACTTGCATGGTTTACAGTACATCTCTTACAATATTTTCCTGTTTTTCCTGATCAAGCCGATATTGAAGTTTAGAAGATTTACCCTGCATTTGACAATTTACAAGAGACAAAAACCTGTTCAGCATAATTCCTTTCGCCATAGTAAGTAAATTAAAACAGCAAGGAATAAAAGTACTCATACAAGTCAACAACAATTTAGAATGTCACCAGTTTCTTTTTAGTCTAGAAAAGCTATCCAATCGCCTTGCATATAGTGGTTCCCTGGAAAAAACTAAGGGCCAATTACATTTCAAACTTGGGTTGTGCGATATAGCTCATTGATCATTTTATGGAGTACAAGTTACAGCTTTCATGCTTCTTTAAGGGCATAACTCCAAGTCTAAATAAGTTATCCTAACTTTTTAAAGTAGAGGCACTAGAGTCACTTTCATCAGCAAGCTCATTTTTTATTCGACTTTTCTTTGCATTCCCAACCTATTTCTGTGTACCAAACAGTTCCCTTTAAACAAACACCCCATGGATTTGAGTACCCCTAGTAAAGTAATTTGGATCCTCAACTAGTAAATTTCTAAGGTGTCACTGAAGTAAAGGAAGAATGACATAAATGAGAGTATGAACACGACCACCTACTTTCTCTATTTTCACCCATTTCCCTTTTTGCCTCTACATCTCTCTACTTCAGGGGCAACAACTTCTCACTTCAGGATACATATTCATACTAAAGAACAAAGAAGAAAAAGGAACAGAACACATGAATGAATAATTATTAGCATGAACATCCACCAAACCAAACCAGTTATATGGATCAGTGCTTCGCAAATATACCGTAAATTAACTGGACATCATATATGAATCAAGGAAATGAGATAAACAGATTTGTTCACCAAACCTTGGAAACAGCTTCAGCCATGAATCTCCCATCTTGAAAGCCAACTACATCTTCAGACCGAACCGCCACACAATCCCGTGGCGTCTCGAAAAGGGATAAAGAGAATTGCTTGCGAACAACACCTACATCAAAATAAATCAACCCAGAATTCGGTACATCCACGCGAATACCTTTCACTGGGAACCAAAGAAACAGATCCTGAGCCGATATTCCCGATAACGCCCCGATCTGCCCAAAACTCAAAGTGCCCGTAATGTTTCTCTCGAAATGCAATTCGTTCTCGAACTGGGCATTACAAGCTTGATCCAAATGCGCCCAGAATTGACCCTCCCCATCGATGTCGAATTCCTTCACACCCTTTGGTAGCAGACCCTTGGGGAGTCCATGGGCGTTAAGAACTTCATAGATAGACGATTGCTCAGAGCTCGAACTGGACGCAGAGGCAGCTGTAACTACGGAGATAAAGGAGAGATAGGAAAGCAGTAAAAACCGAAGGCGAGGGAAGGAAAGCATTTTCTTTTGGTGGTTTTGTGAAATTGGGTGTCTCAACGCATTGGAATCAGAAAGGGCCGGTGGTTGAAATCAGGGTTTTAGGATTGGAATGAAGAATGCGACGAGTGGGAAGGCAAGTGATGGCGAAGAGAAGGGAACGTAGGAAGGAGACAATTGTGAGCTTGTGACAGCTTCGAAACAGTGAGGAGTTGGAGAATAATCAATTATTGGTCATGGAGTGGGACCTACGTTCTTAGTTTGTCAAGTTGTGCGGCATTAACCAATCTTGGGAAACCGAAAATAAAAGAAGATGGAGGGGGGCACATTCGGCGCCACTGCTTTCAGACACATGTTCTCCGTAAATGATCTGGTCCATTTAAATTAAATATAAAAAGCTTAGATTTAAATTTTTTATTTATTTTTTATCTTATTTATTTTTTATATTTATTAAAATAAAAATTTATAATTTTTTTAATAAATTTTGTAACCCAACTCGTTTGAGTGACTGACCCTTTCATACTCATTTATTAAGGTTGAGGATGGATGAAACCAAGTGTCAAAAATTGCGCAAGTGAAGCCAAGAAATAAATTGTAATGCAACTACTAGGACTCATGTCGGAGGAGTTTTAAGTGTGATGTTATACCCGCATTAGAAGGATTTTAAGAGAATCATGGCCATATAAATGGACGCACTACATACCTCACTGAGCTAGCTTTTGAAAATAGAGTAATGGCCCGATAACAAAGTGATATCAAAGTCAAACTTGAGTTGTCCAGTCGATGGGTCACCTATAACATACGCATCACGAATTAGGCAAGGGATCTATTACATCCCACATCAGAATGATTTCGAGAGGGTCCTGTGTTACACACTAGCAAAAGATATGATAGATTATAACAATGGTTAATGGCATAAACGCAAGGTATTATTCATGAAAAGTCAGTCACATAGATTACAGAAGCAAAAACAGAGGGAAAGATCAAAATATAGAGAGGAAATCAGAGAAGAGTAACAGAAAGGAGACGCAATCATAACAAACTTCACACCTTATGCCTCCTTCGCAAGTCTATTCATAACCTCTCTAACTATCCCTCGCTTCACGCAACTTCCACGTGACTTGCCTTAAGCAGTTGCTCCTACGCAACGTGGTGGGCCCCTCATCCATGTTATCTGCTCCATCTTTGTTATTTTCCATGCACATGCACATAGTTTATGGCCTTGTTCTTATAGCCTTTGGGCTCTTTGGGCTAGTGTGTGACAATGCCCCCTTCGATGTTAACCTTGTCCCTAAGCTCAAACGATGGATACTCCAATCGTAGTACGACAACATCCTCCCAAGTCTCGTCTGGTAAACCATCCCAACGTACTAGAACTTGCGATACCCAAGTAGAACCCTTCTTGAGGTGACGAACATCAAGAATTTGTAGGGCTGAATAATAGGGCTGACAGCATCGGTGGTCATTGGAAAGGAAGATATGAATCAGTAGCAGAGCCAACGCATCGTTTGAGAAGGGATACATGAAACATTAGATGAATGCGTGCATACGAAGGTAAATCCAAACGATACGCAATGGAACCAATGTGTTGCAGCACTGGAAAAGGGTTGAAATATTTGACACCTCGCTTTTAATGCCGACGAAGCTCAATAGAGCCCTAACGATATGGCTGTAACTTAACAAAGATGAGATCCCCAACTTAAAATTCTTCAGCTCGACGGTGGCAATTAGTATACTTTTTTCATGCGAGCTTGAGCTCATTATAGGTTTTTAGGTGAGAGTAGTCAACAAAGCATCATGTTCGTGCAACTGTACAAGGAGATCTAGTAGTGTGCCAGTAATAGAATAACCATGGAGGAGCAGCAGGGGGTTGCAACCATAGACCACCTTAAAGGACATCATGCTAATGGAGGAGTGAAAATCTGTATTGTAACTATTCTCAACCCATAGAAGTAGGTCCAACTAACATCGAGGACTGTCATGAACATAGCAACAGAGGTACATTTCCACATAATGGTTCAAAGCTTCGGATTGGCCATCTATCTCTGAATGATAAGAGGAACTCATACGTAACTGGATACCTTGAAGTTGACATAGATTATGCTAGAAGGAGCTCGTAAAAACCTTATCATGATCTGACACAATGGAGCTCGACATACCATGCAAATGTATCACATTGGACAAGAATGCTTTTGCAACATTTTGACTAGTGTAGTTGGTTCTCAAAGGAGCAAAATGAGAATACTTAGAAAGCCTATCGATGACCACCATGATAACTAAGAATCGTTGGGAAGGCAAGAGAGTAGTTATAAAGTCCATCGTGACTAATTCCCAAATTTAGGAGGGGATGGGCAATAGGCACAAGAGACCTACTAGTACTGTTTAAGCAACCTTGGCTTGTTAGTAGATAATACATTGATGAATGAAATCTTGAACATCACATCACATGGAGGGTCAGTACAGTTTAGTCGCTAGATGATGGAAAGTGCACAATGTAACACCCTAAATTTTTTTTTTCAAAACAATTTAACTCAACCATGGTAGAAAAGTGTCTACCATGGTAAACAAAAGTCAACTTATTCTTTTTTTTTTTTGAAACAATTCTATAATTTAAAACACTATCATGGTAAGAAACGATAAAACATAACCTTATAAAATACTTCACCTTTTAAATTAACTATCATGATAGAAAAGATTAGACCCCTTTTCAAATAATGCAAAATAATTTTATACAACTAATACACATTTACCACTATAGTTGGGTTATAGCCACCCAACATATGTTATATCAATAAATTCAATATAAAAATATTTTATAATTGGCTTAATCTTGCACAGTACAACATTTTAGATAAATTTTACCTCCCACATGTCACTAGGCTAAAATCACATTTTTCATCCTTATACTCCTAACAATTGTAAATCATAGATCAATAACTAAAATAAGCAATTTAATCAATTTCCAAAACAAGCTAATTATTTGGCCTCATAATCATGCCATTTCAAACCATTCAAAATAAATCAAAGATCAAAGTTACAATAATCTAAAGTGTACCAAAAATAGAAATAGTTTGAAGGGTATGATTACATTCATATAATTGTTAATAAACAAAAAGCCCTAATATTGGCAATATAACACATTACAAATCATAAATCAAATACCCAAAAGAAACAATGGATCTATGTCACCAAGCCTTAGAGATTCCTCCACGTGCCACTCGTGGCTCTTCTTCCAAAAATTATTAACCACATAATGAGACTCAAAAATTTCAGTAACCAATGCTAATTTATAATAGTATATATAAACAGTTAAATGTGTGCTTGCTAAGTGGGGAAACAATAGTCATATAATTCCAACAAAAATACAAGAAATATTACAATACATAAGAAACAACCATTCTTATCTTCCTTTATTAACCTCGAGCTGTAGTCCTCATTCGGTGCTAAATTATCAAGTCAAAGGTAGATTAGCCCGAACCCTTACAAATCACCTATTGGGTTCTAATAGAGACGTATCACGTGGTACATAAATACAATAATAACAACAAGTCTCCCAACACCTCCCACAATAATCAAACAAATTCATAACAATATTATACAATTAAACAATATTGCAATTTTCTTATTTTCAACAATATTACAATATGACATTCCACTTGATAAAAATACTTGAAAATGCATATCTACAATTTCACAATTTTTCCATAAACATAACAAGGTAGTTTCTCAACAACACTTCATAATTTTTTCAATAATCACCCAATTAACAACAAGCAACACTAATCACAAATTAAAAGCATGGTTACCTTGTGGCTTTTTCAATAAATTATTCCTTACAATTTCTCTTCCACCACAATCTTCACCAACAATATAATCTATAAATAACATATTATTTATAAGTATTAGTTTCAATTATTGAAACTAATAAAATAACTCTAATAATAGAATTAGAGAATATGACATAATTTCTAATCTCAATCATAATATAATTCTAGAGTTAGTATTATTAAGTAAAATTTTTAACTCCTTTTTTAATCATCAATAAATATTAATAAGCTAAAATCAACTTCTAAACCCATTTCTATTATCAAAATTTTTCTTTTTTATTTCATAAATTCGCACCTAAAATACTCAAAAATTAGAAATTGAGTCTCAAGTTTAGAATCATCATCCTATAGCTATAATAATCCATTTCTCATCCCAAATAATCATCTAAACCTCAATAAATTAACATATATTTTTGAATTTAATAAAAATCTAGTATAAGGTTTGATCAATAAGCCTCAAATTCCAAGCTCATAAATAAATTTATACTCTAAAATATTTATTATACCACTAACAACCTCAACAATCTCTTTTATTCAACAAAAATTCAACCCTCTTCTAAACCCCTAGATTTTCTACCACCATAAAATCAGAAACCAAGGAGAAAGGATGGTTAAGAAAAAATTTTAGAACACTTAAATAGTCTTAAAAATCTTGAAATCTTATCCTAAATATCCTATTAGAAAGTCTTACCTCAGAAACTCAGACACACTACATCAACAAACTCGCTCATAGTTGCTTGATCTATTCGTGCACAGAAGAGAAGTGAGAAGAGAAGGAAAATGAAAGGAAAAAAGTCATTTTTTGATTTAAAAATCACTTATAGGTCCCACACCTTTTTCCTCCTATTTCATTCATTTTTTTTTTTGGTGATTTGTCTCATGTACGGATACCAATCCGTTGCCACTCCTTTTTCATTCTTTTATTATTATTTTATTTTTTTTAATGTACATACACTTACACAGTACACACACAGCCATGGAAAATCTGCGCCCTACCCCTTCATATATATATATATATATATATATATTTTAATTTCTATATATGTATATTATTTCTCAATCTCTCTCTATTATATTTCTTTTTCTTCTTTCCAAATAATAATAATAATAATAATTTATTATTATTATTATTATTATTATTATTTTCTAAAAATCTTAACTTAGAATTATATCTTAAATTAGTCCAATAATTATCTCTTAAATAATTGACTTACTCCTAAATATGTTCCAAAATTTCTATTATTTCAAATTAACTATCAAAATTTAAATTGGGATGTTACACGCAATACTTTAGCATGCCCCCCAACTACAGGGGAATGAAACTCGTGAAGAATACATTGTACTAGAGCCGTATGTTCTCAAGGAACCACAATGCAATTTTGAAAAT